TTTATGTCATGATTATGTTGTACATTATTTTGCATTTTTCATTATATTGTGTAATTTTATTGTTATTTAGGTGGAGGCTTTATATAGGCCTATTAGGTTTTTTGCCTCTCCCTGCACTGTATGTTATCTTAATCTATTTGTGTATATTTTAAATTGTGCAAAATAAATTAAAACTAAAAAACTAAATAAATACTTTGAATAAATTATTCTTTCCATCAAAGTAATTTTTTAAATTGAATAAAAATAGTTAATTTGCTTGTTACCACATGAAAAAAATTAAGCTGAAGTGATAAACCATTTTTAAAGATTGGAGTAACATCTATATCACTTTACATGTTCATGTTATATGAGTAACAATATTAATCTGTTTAGAAAATCATACATGACAAATGGGCTGTATTTTTAATCCTACTGATTGTTTTCTATAAATATTTGACATTATCAAATATTCACTGATAAGTGCATTTTGTTACTAAGAACTTATAGATCATGCTCGCCAAAGCTCAGTAAAGAGGTCCCACTGCAGCTGAGCAAAGTCTCCTCCTCCATTTCTCTGCTTTGAGCATTTAAGATCAATGTGTCATCTAATGACTTAAGTGGGTTAAATACTTTTGCAGGACACTGTATATTGTTATTTGCATAGTATTGTCTGTTGTCAACTACACCAATGAAATTCCAGTACAAACACGAGGAACCGATCTTGGAATCAGACACTTGATTCAAGACGTGGATAAAGTTCATCACATTTCACACAGTTTTCTTGACATACCATGATTGTATGTTGTTGTTTGTCTCCCGGACTTAAAACTGGAATCAGAGTTGTTGAATGTACATCATAGAAAGTGTAGAGATGTGTCTGTTTATCACAGTCGTAAAAAGACAGTTTGTGTTTCTCACAGTCTAAAAACACTCCCAGCTTTGAGAACCGATCTCTCACTAGAACAGGAGTCTGAGAGGAATCATTAACATAGTAACCTTTCTCTCTCTCATAGTGAAGAACCCAGTAGCCGTTCTGTGGAGTTAAAGCAACTTTTCTCTTCTTCTCTACTGTTTGATTGGTCACTCCAACATACCAGGATGATGGACATTTATATGGCTTGCTTACTGCTGGACCAAGTGGTGTTTCTGTCAGCCCTGTTATCTCCCAGTAATACCTTCCTGAACTGATTCTCTCTTCACATAGAACATGAGCAAGTCCTGTATCACCACAGACATCTGATGTACGAGTTACTCTTGAAAGTTTCTTTCCAATTTCCAGAAAATCAGTAGTTGGTGTAACTGGTCTGATGGCCACTGCAAAACATCAGTTTATATCAGCTTATATTAAGAGGTTTGAAACTTACACTATGAAACTGTCAGTATTAATGTTTCACATACAAAACACGGTGTGGATTTGTCAGTATTTGTTTTAATTTGTGATATTTCCTGAATATCTGTTTCTTAATATCTGTTTCTTCTAAAGTCCTAAAGAAGATCTCAGTTACACTATGAGTCAGTAATGTCTTGGTCTTTCTTTTTTTATACGTAAAACATTGTGTTTTACCTTTGCAAGCAAGCATTTTTTCCCAGTCTGTGAAAGGAAAAAAAAAATTAAGCAGCTGATATTTTACTGAGGCAAAAATGTTCTACCAATGAAACAGTGATTGTCAAGAAATTTACCTGGAATTTCTGTTTCTGTATTGGTTCCTTTGTCATGTTTTTCTGAAACAGTTCAAAGTAAAACTGTGTGTTAGCATCCTTAAACCACCCGGATGTAAAATACAGGATTATTCAATATGAAAAATATAATGTATTTATATGTATTTGTAGTTACTGATACTATGAGTTGAGCGATTGGCATTTTTCATTCACAACTGAATTAATTCTACACCATGCAGCAAAGGAACAGGATAAACTAATACTACCTATGAATTTATGAAAAAAAATGCCATTATTTCTTTCAGGAGTAAGAGATGTTCTCATACTATATATTTCTTCTACCAGAGAGATTCTAAGGCATAAATCATAACTGCATAAAAATCTTAGTCGTGTTTCAAGTGTATTAACTTCTACAGAATAAGTACATTAACAGTGCTACCTGGGGTTTGAGGGGTTCCAGCAGTCCTTTCTTTCAGATCAAAATCTGATTGAGGGTCCAGCTCTGCTTTAAAGTAAGTTTCATTCACTAGCCCTGATAATTTGTGTTTGCTGTAATTTGATCCTTAATTCTTAGATTTACAACTGAATAACAAAATAACAACAACATAATTGAAGTACCAAAACTGTCCCATCATGGTAATGTTGATAGTTCATGGAGTTGTTACAGTGAGATTATTTAAGCATGAATTTGCTAACCTTCTGATACAGTACAATGTAATGTACAATGTTGCAGATATAGCTTTAAATCTGAATTACTAGTGTTAACCATGCAGCTTCATAATGCAAACAAAAAAAACAGTATTATATTGAGAATTATGCTGCTTTGTCTGAATTGTAAACCCAGATTTCAGATACTTACCTTGTATTTTTCCTTCTGCATTGGTTCCTATGTTAACTGTTTCTGTATCTGCTTTTTCAAAAAAAAAAAGGTGTTTTACAGTTATTTAGACATTCAGAATTACTGACACATAAAATGAGAAAAAAAAATCTATTTTTAATAATTATTATTATACAGTTAAATGTGTTTGTTAATGTACAAATATCTCCATTACAACGGAAATAATTAAGACCTTTCAAAGTACTGCAGCTGTGATGGGCCTGCCTGGAAGACAAGTGTGTTTTAGAAGGCGGATGATTCATAAGGCAGAACTTTCTCCAAGGAGTGTCGTGGGTTCACCAAATCTCTAAAACTACAATCAGGCAATACCTCTATGCTAACAAACTACTTTGAGGGCTCGCCAGAAGAAAACATCTGCCATTATCAAACCACAAATGTAAGCATCTGCATGTCATAGTGAACATGCCTTGGACTTGGATTGGAACAGGGTTCTATGGTCAGGTAAGAAAAGACTGTTTCGCATCCTCAGTATGAGACATAGTGGTGGATCTGTGATGTTTTGTGGCTGTTTTAATTCAAAATACTTTAAAAACTTAGGACACATGACTTCAAATGCTCTAATTAATACTTTTCCCATTTTATTTAACTTAAATTTTATTTTTTTCCATTTTAATTTAATTTTTCCCATTTTCAGCACAGGCTCAAGCTGATGAACAATAAAGGCAGGATTTCATAGGGTTCACATTTAACAAAATTTCTAATGATTATTCATATTTTTATGTCATTATCGTATTCCATTTATTTCTTTTTGGGGTTGTTTACACGTCATATTGTTATGCATTAACTGATGATTATGTAAAACAGATAGGATCATATTGAATGGTGTGCCTTCAGACATCAAACTTTAAATTTATAATACAAAGAATATTCTAGTTCATTATATAGCATAATGAAATGGTTAGAGGTGTTATTTCTTCTACTCACCAATAAAACGTACTTGCTCTTCTAAATGACCTCAAAGAGAAAGAAATCAACACAATTTCTCTTTTGAATACACAAAACTAGCCAGACCAGTCAAACAATGAAATTAACATTATGTCGGTAATTGCATGATACACTATATGGACAAAAGTATCAGTGCACCTACAGGAGCTTTTATGACATCCCTTTCTAAATCCATAGGCATTAATATGGAGTTAATCTCCCTTTGCAGCTATAACAGCTTCTACTCTTCTGGAAAGCTTTCTACAAGATTTTGGAGAGTGTCTGCGGGAACTAAGGGTTCTAGGCCAACCCCTGAAAAACAGCCCCTTAGCATTATCCCTACTCCACCAAACTTTACAGTTGGCACAATGCAGTCAGGCAGGTAACCTGGCATTCACCAAACCCAGACTCGTCCATCAGAATCAGATAGAGAAATGTGAATTATCACTCCACAGAATATGTTTCCACTGCTCCAGAGTCCAGTAGTGGCACTTTACACAACTCCCCCAGATGCCTGGCATTGTGCAGTTTGATCTCAGGCTTGTGTGCAGCTGCTTGGCCATGGAAACCCATTTCGTGAAACTCCTAACACACAGTTCTTTTGCTGATGTTGCTTCCAGAGCCAATTTGGAACTCTTTAGTGAGTGATTCAACAGAGAATAGGCAGTAGTGGTTTCAGCACTCGATGGCTTCACTCCATGAGTTTGCGTGGGCTACCGCTTCATGGCTTAGCTGTTGTTACTCCTAGACACTTCCATTTTACAGTAATAATACTTACAGCTGTCTGGGGCAGATCTAGCAGGGCAGAAATTTCACAAACTGAGTTGTGGCAGAGGTTACATCCTCACAGCGCCGTGCTTAAAGTCACTGAGCTCACCAGTACGACCCATTCTACTGCCGGTGTTTGTCTATTGAGACTGCAAGGCTATGTGCTTAGTTTTATCCACCTGTTAGCAGTAAGCATGAGTGAAACACTTGAACTCAATAATTAAGAGGGGTGTCCCAATACGTTTATCCATATAGTGTATATTACTTTCAACAAAGACATGATCAAAGCTAATTAATTATTCACAATGGTACAATGAATCTCACCAACTGAGCAGGCTTCGGATCCTTTGGGAACAATGGGCCTGTATTCCAAATATTTCAAAGATTACAATGTTTTTTTTTTTTTAAAGTATGAAGCTATTGATATGCTTTCACTGATAACTAAACATTTCCTACTTTTAATCTTGGGGATGCTGAAAATTGCCATTAAAGCGAAAACCAAAAGACTGATAACCAGTAAGATGATGAAGGCTTTCCATTCTGGAGAAACTCCTGATCAAATATATGTGTTTTATTAGTACATCTGACATGTAAAATAAGTAAATGACATTGACGTGTCTAGTATATCGTTATAGCACTTTACCAGGTATCTGATGTGTGTAGTAGCAGGTTGAGTGCAGCACTCTCCCTCTCTCGTCTCATGATCAGATACACCACAGAACAGAGATCCACTCTGACTCAGAGGGAGAGAGAAGCAGCCAAGAGCTCACACTCACCAACCCTTCAGAGTCTACATGAGAGAGAAAGGCAGAGAGAACAGCACGTTGAGGTTTAGTAGCCATCAGTACGGAAGTTCAGAGAGGCCCTGTAATAGTTATAATTGTTTTGACTAATATCTTAAGATAATGTTCCTGGGGCCATACAACAGAAACTTCTTAACTCTTTTTTCATCTGTTTAGTCACAATGACAACTTCAGTTAAGACTGAATTTAGAACAGAAGCTATTACAGAACAAAACTTCTTAAGTTCATAATCTTATCATTCCAACTCCAGATAAGAAAACAGTATTACACAAATATCCTAACTACACAAAATCTCCTACTGTCCTAACTAAGATAAACCTCAGAGGGTCTTAACTTCTGTTTTAACTGTCAGTTTCTGTAGTTTTATGCAGTGACAGGCATAGTTCACTATAACTACCATAATGACATCATATTTATCTACATTGAAAACGATGTTTTGACTTATGAGGTTTTTCCAAACATCGTTTTAATAATCCCAGACACCGAAAAGACTCCACCGTCCAATCTTATTACCTTTGTGTGTTTATTTTGATGAAAACTGGTTCTGACCTGCACCCGCCCCCTGGGCCCCGATGACAGCCGCGAGAGCCGGCGGGAGGGCAGGAACTGAACCTCGAACACTGCTGAGAGTGCTGAAGTGACGGCGGGAGGAGGAGGGCAGTCACCAGGGATGGGAGGACAACAAAGGCCACACGAGCATGAAGGTAGGACATGAGCCCCTGCCCTCCCGCCAGCTCTTGCGGCTGTCATTGGGCCCCAAGAGACAGGCAGAGGGCAGAACCCGTTTTTATCAAAATTAACACACAAAAGGTAATAAGATTAGACGGTGGAGATCAAAAACAACTCCAAGCCCATTGCACTCCGTTTTGCAGCGTTTAAACGAAACATGTCCTTCAACCCAGAAACCACAGCAAGACGGTGCACAGCGTTTCGAGATTTAACGTGTTGAGTGTGCAGGTTGGCTTTGGTTTCCATCACTCAATCAGAGTTTCTAATTCGGAGAATGTCATGTGGGGAGTGTCTTTGGGCAACTTTGAGAGAGATGAAAGAGAAAAGCAAGAATTGCAACCCAAATCATGTTATTCAGAAAACGCATTTGGTTTTGGCATCATGATGCAGATGATACAGACTGTGTAAAAACAAAAACAGAACCTTATTGTGTTGGGTTTGCAAATTGCTCTTTTTAAACTGAGGACAGAAACTGCCAAAGGTCATATATAAATAGACAAATGATATCGATATCACAATATCGAAAAACTGCAAAAAAAAAAACCTACTCATTTTTGTGCTACTGTAGTTTCATGGGTTAATTAATAAATACTGTGCACAAATATTTATTGTTTTCCATATTTTTTTTAGCTGAATCTTAGGATATGTAAGATTTTATGGTTCGGTCAAAAAAAAGGAACATGCAAAAGTATGCGAAGGCAGAAGTGTAATGTAGTGCTCAATGTAGCACTTGACAAGTTACGCTTAATGAGTCTGTTTTGTCTTTTGTTTATAGAGACGGAGATTTTACCTCTAGTAATCTCTTTCTCTGGAAGTGCTGTTAGAAAACACTACAGGATTCTATATGCTGTATGATATTAAGATGCTTTTCAAATGATTTTTTTCTTTGTTTCAAGGAAATATTTCTAAAATTTATAAAGGAAACTTTTTTTTGATAAAGCATTTACAGAATATACACAAAGTAACTGTTCTCTATAAAAACAACATAAGTATTATCTGTTTAATTTACAGGAAATGTATTTTTCAGTGTAGTTACCTGTTATATAGTGATCATTACCGCTCTCAAGTTCTCTTCCTCCTCTGTCTCTCCAGGTGAGGGAGGGCTTTGGTGACCAGCCACCGGATGCACAGGTAACATTCATCCATTCTCCAGCTTCAGCAAAGGAGAGAACAGGAAGAGTTCCTAGTGCTTAAGACAGGAGGAGTTTGAGGATGAGTTGGAAGGTTAAACATCAGTCAATGTTGTGAATACAGTGAATGTTGTTGTATATGTTGTTTATAGGTTTTTTATTTGAATATAAGGATCATCTTAAAGCTCGTAAGACTTTTTAGTCTATAGTTATTAGCTTCATATTGGATGATTTGACAGTGACAGTGTTACCGCTCATTTCACATTTGACAGTGTCACACTCATCATAACACATTTCTTAGTCATCCATATGTAATTTTTGAAATTTCAAATTATTTAGTCCAATTTAATCAACTTAGTTGACTTGGTACTGTTTAAGGTAAAGTGTAAGTTGCTGTGAGTTGGGCTGTGGTTCTTACCTTTCACTAGTAACGATATATTGGCTCTGTCATACCACTGTGGGCCCTCAACATTGCACATATATTCCCCATTATCTGCCAGTGTGAGGTTCTCCAGTTTCAGAGAGATGTTCCCTTTATCCAGTTCCCCAATCAGATACACTCTGCCTCTGTACTGAGGATCTCCAGCGTTCTCCTGGACTTTCAGGTTCTCGTAGAGCAGAACGGGGTTGTCATAGTCGTCATTTTTGCACCAGCAAAATTCAAACGTTTCAGCATCATAGGAGGGAGAAAGTCCACAAGGCAGGATGACCGAGGATCCTGATAGAGCTGACACTGAATTAGGAACCAACACTGAGAATTTCACTGAAAGAGACAAATATGACCAGGTTTTATTACATTTTCCAGAATGTAACAAAAGTGCAAATTTAGGTCTAAAATAGAAAAAAAGGTTACCAGCTTTCGAGGTGCTGAGATTAGTAACCATGATCCATAAAAACAGCAAAACTGTCAAAGGCAGAACCATGTTAGATTATTAGTGATTAGACAGATTAGATTACAGTGTTAGACAGTGATTATTATTACTGATATTATTGTTATAATCACTGGTGTTGTTGTTTTGATACTGCATGTTCTGTGTTTAAAATATGCAGCCAACCTCGCATTGTGTAACATTCACAACATCGAAACTTTAATAATCTTTATTTCTTTAATAATAAAAACTAACATGTTACAGACTTTTTTGATGGCATAGTGGATATTAAATTACGAACCGCATAACTGTATCTGTACTATATACAAACTTTCATACACTCATATCACTGCAAACGCAAACAGTTTGTCTTACTAGAAGTAACATGGTGAGTTTACTGTGTAAATCTTCTTCTGTGCATACTTTGCTAGACCCCTTTTACCCTGTTCTTCAATAGTAAGGACCCCCACAGGACCACCAAAGAGCAGGTACTATTTGGGTGGTGGATCATTCTCAGCACTGCAGTAACACTGACATGGTGGTGGTGTGTTAGTGTGTGTTGTGCTAGTCTGAGTGGATCAGACACAACAGTGCTGCTGGAGTTTTTAAATACCTCAGTGTCACTGCTGGACTGAGAAGTGTCCACCAATCAAAAATATCCAGCCAACAGCGTCCTATGACCACTGATGAAGGACTAGAGGATGACCAACACAACATTCCTTCTACAACTTTTAGAAGTAATATTTTTATATGCAAACTTGTTTTTATAATGATGACTCCTGAAGTCTCTACCTCCTTTGTCTCTCCAAAAATGTCTCATATATTTAGGTTGCAAATCTTAAATTTGTCAAGTTTGTGGTTGTGTTGCAAGTGAATTACCTCCATTTGAACTTGTGAGAAGGCCAGGCATCATCAATAAGACTAGCATACCTGTTAAAGGGAGAAAATTGGTAAACTCCACTCTTATTTCATTGAATACTGTGTAAAAGTGTTCCAGTAAAACATTTCCATGTAAAAATAAAGACATACATAAGTAGAAACATAAGTAGAGACAGAAACTAACTACCTCAAATTTCTAAAGTTAGATTTTTAAATACAGTATCTCACAAAAGTAAGTACACCCCTCACATTTCTGCAAAATATTTTATTATATCTTTTCATGGGACAACACTATAGAAGTAGTCAGTGTACAGCTTGTATAGCAGTATAGATTTACTGTCCTCTGAAAAGTAGACCTCACAGTGAACATGTCCAAAATGTGCTCAAAGTGTCAATATTTTGTGTGACCACAATTATTATCTAGCACTGCCTGAACGCTCTTGGGCATGAAATTCACCAGAGCTGCACAGGTTGCCAGTGGAATCCTCATCCACTCCTCCATGTGTGGCGTAAGGTATGAGCACTGACAGGCTGACCTCCCTCTTCTTCAACCTCTGCAGCAATGCTGGCAGCACGCATGCATCTACTTTTGAAGCCAACCTCTGGATATGACGCTGAACACAGTGGACTCAACTTCTTTGGTCGACCTGGCGAGGCCTGTTCGAGTGGAACCGTCCTAGGAAACCGCTGTATGACCTTGGCACCGTGCTATAGCTCAGTTTCAGGGTGTTAGCAATCTTCTACAGCCCAGGCCCCTCTTGGTGAGAGCAACAATTCTATTCTCACATCCTCAGAGAGTTCTTTGCCAATGAGGTGCCATGTTGAAATTCAGTGGCCAGTATGAGCAAATTGTTCCCAGAAACACCAAAATTAACAGCCTGCTCACCAATTCACACCTGGAACCTTGTAACTCTAACGAGTCACCTGACACCAGGGAGGGACAATGACACAAATTGGGCAAGGCACATTTGGACTTGTCAATGTGAGGGACCACTGTGTTGCCACCTGTTTAGACATTAATGGCTGTGTATTGAGTTCTTTTCAGAGGACAGTGCATCTATACTGCTATACAAAACTGACAATGAAGACTATAAGTAATCCAAGTTTCATTTCAAGTTGTCCCATGAAAAGATACAATAAAATATTTGGCGTACTCACTTTTGTGAGATACTGTACATTTTGCCAATAATTATAGCTTTAACTAACTACTGTCTGTTCATGAATGTCCACGGGCAGCGCAATGTATTTTGACGCTCATTTGCTTTCATGTTTTTTTGGCTCCGGTGCTCTTTTTGGTGAAAACTACATGAAAAATAAAAGTAATGTTAATTAGTATGTATTTACTGTTTAATAGTAACACCATCAGAATTAAAACACAAATCAAGTGAATAGCATTACACGCATATGTTTTAAATGCAATGTTCAGGACACTCTTCTGATGTAATCTTACACTCTGTCAGGTCTCAACTTGAACCTATTTTACTTTCACTTTGTTAACAACACCAAAAAAAAAAAAGCCACCAAAGTGCTGAATGAATGAAAATCAGAAACACTGAGGACAATAATATGAATTGTGGTTCCTGCAAAGTGTCAGTCACGTAGCAAGATTCTCAAAGCAGCCACTGTTTAAAATCTCAACCTACCTTTGTATGGAGCCAATGAGGCATAACGTAGGGCTGATCTTGAAGATAGTCAGGATGAGCCTGGATTACTCAATCCTTCTTCACTATTAAGCGCTGCTGAACATTAAAGCAGAATGCAAAACTAAAAATAGAATTTAGATCCGGAGCTGCTGAGGTTTTTTTCTTGAAACCGTCACCTCAACTGGAAGCAGCACCAGGAAGATCTGAATGAGGAAACTAGAGAGGGCAGGGATCCAGCTGAGAACAAAGCACTACAGTCACCGGCACCCTCTGCTTGGTGCACAGATATAGAAACTTCTTCACGGTTCTGTTGAGCAGATTTGGAGTAGGCTATTTTTATGTAAAGAGTCCCTGGGATTGTGAAAGGCACTATATAAATGTAACATGATTATTATTATTATTATTTTTTTATGGTATATTTTATTATTATTATTATTATTATTAAGATTTTTAGGCATTGCAGACAAGTACCAAATGTATGGTATCAAAATTCACACTTTTTTATAACATTTCTCTGAGTAGTAACAAGTATTTTTTGGTATAATTTCAGTAGATGTCCCACCTTCATTTCCAATTTCCACACATATAAAGCTGCATAAAAAAAGCTCAGATCTGACTGCCTTTACTGACATACCATCTACTCTGCCTTTAATTTTGAATTATTAGTAAATAAATGTTGTATCAACATAAAAACATTGCTACGTGTTAAATGTTTCCTCGTTAGCACTACATATGTTAATATAACACTTTGAAGTAAAAGATAAGAAGGTGTTTGTCTTTGAAGCCTTCAGAGTAGATTGCTGGAACATTTGCATCACGGCAGCCGTTTTAATTGAAACTCTGTGGAATAACACTTTTATGACTGATTTTCTTCAGCACATACAAACACTGAACAGAGTGAGCTGTAAGCTTTGATTTTATACACACACATTAAAATGCACTTCAGAAAGGACTGTCAGAATGTGTGTCCTACCATCTGAACATACTAGATCATTACTACACTACACAGGTAAGTGCCTATTGTTTATCTATTGTTTAGGCCTCTCCCACCTGTTTAGAAGCAGCAACTGAAATGCAGACCAACAAGTGATTCAGTGCTGAACAGTGGAGACAAAGGCAAAGCAGCTGGACTGGTTTAACTGTAAAACTGCAGCATGTTTCAAGTCTCCATTAAATCATCAAATGTAGTTGATCAGCTAAGACATCTTCGGTGTCTGAAGTCTGCTTCTTTAGCTTTTTTACTGGAGCTACAGAGCTAAATGTAGCTCACAAGCAATGTTGGCCTACACTGCTCCTTGTTTCTACGCTCACTGTCCATTTTATCAGCTCCAGCTAAGTGTCCACATACTTTTGGTCCATGTAGTGTATATTATCATATTTTTGTTATCACACAAAACTACTGAAAGCTCTTGTACTCCTTCAGTAGTTGCCTGGCAACAACAGCACACACTATAATTACCTACATTTTGATGGAAGAATGGTTAATTGTGATCATTAATAATTCTAATTTACATTATTTAATGACAATGTGTATTCTGTCATATGTTGTGTTAGGTGATTTTAGACTGGTATTTCACTGAAGATGAAGATGGCATCATCTTGATCTTGATCAATCAAGATGACATAATTATATCCCATCTATTCCAGCCGTCCCTGATATAGTGTATGGCCCACTGTCGAATTCTATGGTAGGTTTGATAAGGAGGGCTTGGACTGAAATGCAGCAGCCCACTGCTTTGAGAACAGATCATATGGCAGTGTATACTTACCCAAAATGCAGATGCACGGTAAAAAGGGGGGAAATGAAGAAAGAAAGAATTAAAGTGTGGGCACAGTTCTCAGTTTTGATGGTTCTTCTATGAAGATTATGATATCTTTCTTAAGTAAGTCTGATTTTAAGCGGTCTTAAACACACTGGTGTCTATTTGTTTGTTTAATAAAAAAAGGGACGAGTATGTATGTGTATACTGTAAACTATATACTGGCTTTTAGATACAATTTAAATGAAAAAAAACAACAATAACTTAATTGCATCAACAGTACTTGGAATTAGGAAGAGAACAATGAATTCACCTTAGTAACAGTTTCAGTTTAGTGAGCATTAACACTGGGATTAACAGTGAAACGAGATTATAAATTAGTCTGTCAGTTTTGACGTTTTTCTTTCTTATTAAGCTGCAACCTGTTTATTTCTGTCGTTCTTTTCATTAAAAATCATCCTTACTCCTGGTTAGACCTTTTCTCTGGTGTGTGATTTTCTCTCTATCTGTGTTTCTCTTCTGCGTTGGACGGACGCGTCCATCGCTGACGTCACTCGCACGGCCTGCTGGGAGTTGTAGTCTTTGCCTGACTCGCCATTTTGGAACGAGTCGTAGTCGTTCGTTAACGTCTAAAAAAAAACCCACCAAACGCAGCCAACACATTAATAAAAACAGCACTCCCGCTTCTTTCTATTCACACTGACACAATTCTGACTGCACAGCGCAGCCTTTAGAGCTTAAAACTGCGTATTATTACTGTTAGCTCTCCAGGCTAATCCAACTAGGTTAGCTGGGTTAGCGTAGTTAGCTACGTCTGCTAAGCTAACAGAGAGGAGCTTCATGGCCGTTTTAGCCACCGTATCGCTCATATACTCCGATTTTTCCCCATTTTTGCTTTTATTTCTCTCAGGGCACATATAACGCCACAATATTTGTTAAAAAGGACATCTTTAGCTAGATATATTTATACACCCCTCAGTACTGCCAGCAGTATTAAGCTAAGCTAACGTTAACATATCTTCGCCAACATATGTTACAAGGTATTTTAGCCTTAAAAACTCACTTATTATTTTTTTCTAAAACAGCTGTGTAGAGTGAGAAGGGTGATTCAGCTTAAGTGCCGAGAGGAATCCAGAAATCTTGCAGCAGAAATCAGTTTGTACTGGTTTCTCTGTGAGTCTATCAGCGCTTCGCTCAGTGGAAAGTTCGGGAAGAGGCTGAGGGAAAGCGCGAGCGTCTCTGTGAAGGAGTGAGTGGGCTGTTCTAGAAAAAAAGGTCATCATGTTGCTAAGTTTGCCTGAGTTTGAATAAAACTGACAATGGAACAGACCCTGACTTCTTTTATAAGTAGGTTAAGGACATTTTTATTTGGACAGACCTTTTCTTACATGTTATGGAGGTTTGCTGCTTGAGTTTGAATGCAGAGGACAATAGCTGAATAAACTCAGCACAGACTGGTGAAACTGGGAAAACAGCTTTTAACGTTAGCTATGCTAAAACAAAGCTCTAATGTAGACAATGTCTTTGGGCACCTGTGGTCCTAGGTTTGCTTGCTGTCTGACGAGCATATATTTTGCGAGGGAACGCAATGTCATTAAGTTCTTTTTTAACCACGGCCCCTTAGGGGCTCCGTATGAATTATATACTTATTTATTTTGGCTGTGTACGGTCTCTTTCTAAATGTTCTGCTTTTGTTATTATATTGAATTTACTTTTGTAGTACCTTGATATTTTCACCTAAATGAAAGTTGCATTATAAAGTATTTTTTAAATATTTATTCCCGAAGAATCGTTTGGAAAAGAGCCGAAAGAGTCGGTTCTTATTGGTGAACTAAGTCGAGTGACATGATTCACTGAAAGGAGCCCATCACTATGAGGAATCCAGGATCTTTTTGGGATCGACTCGCAGCCTTACTGAGGACTCTCGCTTACTGATCATTGATCATTTTGATATTTAGAAATGTGACACTTATTATTTATTAGGCACATCCCAGTACTGATATATAATGAATATGAGATTGCGTTTCTCCAACTCCGATGTGCAAAAATTATACATAAATATAACATAAAAGGCAACTCCACATAGACATACTAGACAACATAGACACAAAACAAACAAATAGATAACTTGGCAAAAAGCAGTAGTTGACAAGGGTAAATCCCACAGTAGCCCTCCAGAACTTAAACTACCATTAAGATTATTCACACATTCATGTAATGTTGCTCATGATGTATCGATAAACAGGACTATGTACCTTTATATGAATGCTTGTACAAATTCTAGCCAAGAAAGTACAGTAATGTATTTAATATTTACATTTTTAGTGACCATCTTTGTAAATGTAAAAGAAAGGTATGCCTAGATAAAATACCAAAGGAAGCAGAGTTTAATACCTATAACTTGGGGCAATTATGGGCTAGAGGTTAGGGAACCAGTCCTGTGACCAGAAGGTTGCTGGTTCAATCCCCTCAACCTACAATACATGACTGAAGTGCCCTTGTGCAAAGCACCTAACCCCCAACTGCTCCCCGGGCGCCATGGATGGGGCTCCCCACCGCTCCGGGCAAGTGTGCTCACTGCCCTCTAGTGTGTGTGTTCACTAGTGTGCATGTATGTGGGTGTTTCACTGCACAGATGGGTTAAATGCGGTGGTCTAATTCCTCTGTGTGCAAACACAGTTGGCTAATGGTTCTGAATTGTAATTCATAGGAACAGAACAGTAAAAAGAAAAGTGAAAACATTCAGTTTGTCAAATTCCTACCATACAGTTGTCAGTGAAAGTGCTCTTATTGTAAAGTACAATCGTCTAGGAACAACAACAGCACGGCTGTGAAACAGCAGGAGTCCAAACGTTGCAGGGAAAAAAGGCTCAAGATTGCAGTGACACACTAACAATGCTGGAGAAAGAGTGTGAGAGTATTTGCAGGGGAGCTGATGAGTGGAGATGGAGAACAGGTGTGTGAGAGTGAAGGTTAGAATTCAGGAGATGATGGCCTCTAGTGGGCAGTTTGGGAGTTGCATTTGAAGTTAGCTCTGTGTCTTTTAATGCTGCAGTATTTTCACCTGTTTCTCAGGCAAGAGTCAATAAAAATCAACATGTAAATGAGCTCATACTTTTTAAAGACCTTTTAAGTGAAGGAATTTTATTTCAGCATGTAAGACGTAGTTTCCTAATCAAAGAATTCAATAATAATAATAATAATAATAATAATAATAACAGTGTATATGTCTGTCTGTCTGCCCTGCGATGGACTTGCGACCTGTCCAGGGTGTATCCTGCCTTCCACCCAATGACAGCTGGGATAGGCTCCAGCACCCCACCGTGACCCAGAAGGATAAGCGGTTTAGATGATGTATGTATTTATAATAATAATAATTCACACCTTTTTCCAGTTCATTATAATTACAGTAGTAATTTTTGCTAACATAAATTTAAGTTGAACCTTTTGTATTTTCATTACAACTGATAATAAAATAGACATGTTGAAATTCTAATTACTATATGTATTAATTTCAGCTAGAAAATATTTAATTCAGAAAATTTATTTGAAAATCTAAAATAAAAAAACAGTTTAGTAAAAAATATTTTTTTACTAGTAAAATGTAATTTTAATGTGTGAATTCCTCTGCAAATCCATTATAGACTGAAAATAGTATTAAAAGTTTAAAATCAGTTTGAACGTGTAATTAAACTCTCAACATGTCAAATTACTCTCAACTTATTTAGCGTCAGACTCTAAACCTAATTTCCTCACACAGGAGGGATTCACCAAGTATGAAATCTGAAGAGGCTGTTTTGAGTTCAGTGCAGTTAAATCCGTCTGAAATCTGCTCAGGTAAGTCTTTTCTCCTCTGTGCTCAGCAGCAGCAGGTCTGTCATGCTGCTCCATCCAAACAGATCAAAACGTGTCTTTTATATATGTTAATCGCTCTTATCGTCACTGGAAATCTGTCGCTGCGCTTTGTAGTTTGTCAAGAGTGGTGTGGAATAATGTGACTGGCGTGTGCTGAGCTTTTCCCTCAACTCCAAAACTTGATTTTTTCTGTTCTGCTATTTTTAGTTTATTTGTGATCTTTCAGGACCTTCCAATTTGTTTTCATTGTGCACAAGGCTTGTGCAACGTCTCTGATCAATTTTCCCACTTTTCGTAGCTTCAAAATGGCTTCCTTTTCTTCACAGACAGCTCTTTTTCCCCATTTCCCAATTTTTGTTTACTATATAGGTGCACTTTGTAGTTCTACAGTTACAGACTGTAGTCCATCTGTTTCTCTGCATACTTTCTTAGCCCCCTTTTACCCTGTTCTTCAGTGGTCAGGACCCCCATGGACCCTCACAGAACAGGTACTATTTGGGTGGTGGGTCATTCTCAGCACTGCAGTAACACTGATGTGGTGGTGGTGTGTTAGTGTGTGTTGTGCTGGTCTGAGTGGATCAGACACAGCAGTGCTGCTGGAGTTTTTAAACACCTCAGTGTCACCGCTGGACTGAGAATAGTCCACCAACCGAAAATATCCAGCCAACAGTGTCCTGTGGGCAGCGTCCTGTGACCACTGATGAAGGACTAGAGGATGACCGACACAAACTGTGCAGCAGCAGATGAGCTATCGTCTCTAATGCAAAGCGAGTAAACGAATGACCTTGAACTGACAATCTGGGGTTTTTTAAAACTTTATTTTATTGAGCAGAGTGACAGGCAGCTGGTTCTAAATCATTTATGAAATTAAAGATGCTCTTATTTCAGATCTTCTTTTTTCTCTGTACTTTGTTTCTCTCCAGTTTCATTGCCCCTCTCAACCAAATGTGCCATTTTTTAAACATTACATTCATAAGTAATTGAGCTTTTGAAATACTATACATACACAATAAAAACACAGAGGACTGATCTTGAGTCAGCACTCAGACACTCGATCCTCATGGTTGATAAAGTTCATCACATTTCACACATTTTTCTTGACTTATCATGATTGTATGTTGTTGTTTGTCTCCAGGACTTAAAACTGGAATCAGAGGTGTTGAATGTACATCATAGAAAGTGTAGAGATGTGTCTGTTTATCACAGTCGTAAAAAGACAGTTTGTGTTTCTCACAGTCTAAAAACACTCCCAGCTTTGAGAACCGATCTCTCACTAGAACAGGAGTCTGAGAGGGATCATTAACATAGTAACCTTTCTCTTTCTCATAGTGAAGAACCCAGTAGCCGTTCTGTGGAGTTAAAGGAACTTTTCTCCTCTTCTCTGCTGTTTCATTGGTCACTCCAACATACCAGGATGATGAACACTTATATGACTTTCCATTCTTTGAGGTATGTGGTTCTATCATTACTGTTATCTCCCAGTAGTACCGCCCTGAACTAATTCTCTCTTCACAAAGAACATGAATAAATGCTGTCTTGTCATTGAGATCTGATGTACACATTACTCTTGACTTTTTCTTTCCAACATCAAGAGAAGGTACAGTTGGTGTGACTGGCCTGATGGCAACTGGAAAAATAAACATAAAAAAGAATATGAAATGAACACCAAGCTGTATTAAAGAGATTAAAAACAATTCTGGAAAATGTTCATACAGACAGTAGAACAAATGGTCATAACTACAACAAACAAAATTTGTGGATATTTACAAATATGTTGATATCCTATTTTAATTAGTGTTAAATTAGTGATTTGTAATATTACTATATTCTAACTTTTAAAGACAGGTTATAATTCTCAGTATATTATGAGCAGCATTGCTCCTCACTCCTTTTTCTTTACACAGTAATAATGATCAGTGATCTCAGCTCGGATCTGTGTTGGAATCAAAGTTTTACCTTTACATGCGAGCATCTTTTCCCAGTCTGTGAAAGAAAATAGTAAGAATTAGTACAAATCTTGAAAGAGCAGCTTTATTATAACATGAATATTTTCTACCAACAGAAACCAGTCCAGTGTGTTTAGATTTACCTGGAATTTCTTTTCTTTTTTCTGTATTCGTTTCTTTGTCCTTTTTTTCAGAAACTATTCAAAGAAAAACAATGTCAGTGTTCTTTTGTCAGCGGTTTAAAATGATCTTTTCAGCTCACCTCTAAATCAGTGTTTCACCACTTTCTGGAGCCCCTGAACTGCAGAGTTTTGTGTTTTCACTGATTCAGAATAAGTTTATGATTCACTAAAGATGTAACTCAGTGGGTACAGCAGAGAAAACACAAACAGGTTCCAAAAAAACAAACAGAGTCCAGCACCAGAGTCAGGAAACACTGTTCTAAACCTCATGATTGAAGTGGAAACACTATTTGAAAATGTTTCATGTATTTAAGAAGAGTTACTGTAGTTCAAGTGGCTCAGCTGTGAACGTATGTAGTTCATGTCATAGTGCAGGTCCTAATTACTGATTTAACGATTTACTGTCTACATCTTTACTTTTACTCTTGCTGAGATGTTGTGTGGAAAATTTATCAGGTTTTAAGTGTTTAAAGTGTTTTAACCTCTGTGTAATTAACTATATGACAGTGTTACCTGGGGTTTGAGTGGCTCCATCAGTTCTGCTTATTTCTCTCAGAGCTGAAACTGGGCATGGTGGAGTGAACTCTCCTTTAAAATAGATACATTTTAATGAAAAATACAGACAAACCTGTTCTGCCTTATTAACACAACTTTTTAGAATCATACTTTGTCTCCAAATATTTTAAAGAAAAATGTTTTTTAAATGGAATTTCTTTCTTTGCATTTTTTCTCACTGGAGGGTTAGATTTGTTTCATATTTCCAAGTAAAAATGTAGTAATATTTCAAGTACGTTTTTATTTTGTATTTATTTCTTTTTAGATTATTGGTATGGAGATCATCTGCTGTAATACCTGATATTAGCAGTTGCACATAATGTAAACACTGACAATGTTAACTGGCTGACAGTGACATAGATGTCAGTAAACAAATGGGCAGTTTGATAAATGAAAATGTAGTGAAATGATTAGAGGTATTTTACAAATCTACTCACCAACGAGATGTGTTTGCTCTTCTAAATGACAGAAAAGAGGAAAATTGCACCCATAACATTCATAATGAGTACACGAAACCGGAAATTATACTTTACTAATAATAATAATAATAATAAGTGATAATATATTATGAAATAACAAAAGACTCATTTTCATTCTGTCAGTAATTCCATGGTGTGTTACTTTCAGCAAGGACATAATTATAACTAATTCATTTTTGAAGTTGCGTCTTTCTCATAACAGTATTATGAATCTTGAATCTTACCTTTTGTAGCAGACTTTGGATTCTTTGGCAAAATACGGTCTATATTCCAGAAAAAACAAAAAATAATAATTAGAATTGTTTATGATAGAATGAGGTCTGTGATTAAGATTCACAGATAACTGAACATTTTTACCTCTGATCTTGGGGATGCTGAAAATTGTCATTACAGTGAAAACCAACAGGCTGATAACCAGTAAGATGATGAAGGCTTTCCATCCTGGAGAAACTCCTGATCAAATATGTGTTTTATTAGTATTTAAATGACCATTGAACTGTGTCATGTATGTCATTATAGCACTTACCAGGTTCTGATGTTGTAGTAGCAGGTTTGAGTGGCAGCACTCTGCTCTCTCTCGTCTCCTGATCAGATAAACCCACAGAACAGGAGATCCACTCTGACTCAGAGGGAGAGAGAAGCAGCCAAGAGCTCACACTCACCAACCCTTCAGAGTCTTAATGAGAGAGAGAGAGAGAGAGAGAGAGAGAGAGAAGCATATATACCATATGGCATGTTTATCTTTAAAGGGCAGTATCACAAGTTTTTCAAACTTTCTACATAATTCGTCTTCATTCAGAGTTGTTCTCATAAAATGCTTCGTTGTTGGAAAAGAGTCAGAATTGCTCACAGTGGTGGTGATGGTAACCAGTCGTCTGAAGAGTTTAATGCCTTTAAAAGCTCCCTCATAGAAAGTCATTACATTGTTTAAGGATAGCTTTATGACATGCTTTTGGCTTGTAATGTATTTTTTTAATTATTTTATGATGGAGGGGAACATGCAGGCATACATACATACATACATACATCATCTAAACCGCTTATCCTTCTGGGTCACGGTGGGGTGCTGGAGCCTATCCCAGCTGTCATTGGGCGGAAGGCAGGATACACCCTGGACAGGTCGCCAGTCCATCGCAGGGCGGAACATGCA